GATGTTTATGTATGAATGTGTTGGAATGTATAATGTTTATGTTGATTGATATGAGTGATGCTTATGAATGTTTTGCTATGCATGAAGGGATCCATGCTTTTGATATGTGAACCATGTTGGTTGTAACACTTAATATCATATACTTTGTGTCAAAGTACGCATGTTGAAACTTTGAGTTGGAGTATAAGGGTAGGTCAGCGTAGACCAAGTGTTCCAGTGCTAGGAACGCAAAAGACTCAGAAGAAGTTGTCTGAATTCCCTCTTCTTTAAATATTTGCCAAATGGCTTGTGTGACAAAAAATCTCAAGCGATTGAGAGTCAAAACATTGGTAATGTGTATGCCTTCTTATAATAGCATTTCCTTCAGTACCTAGTCCTCCACTTTGAAAGAGTAAGGCTTGGCCCTCTAGTCATAATAGTCGACGGTACATTCACCCCTGGTTTTCTTGATACGAACTTTTATCCCTCTTGTTGTAATGGGCTTGCTGAGAGTAAAAATCTTTCCTCTTACCAAGAGACATATACGTTTGGTGACTTAGCGAGTAGCTAAATGAGGCAGGAGATGATGCAATAGGTGTCTTAATGGCCAATATCTCCTCACTTGGTAGAACTTTACTTCCACTTCCCATTTGTTGATAGGGGTTCCCTAGGTATGTCCTTACTTCGGCGGAGGCGTGGTTGTAAGCCTGTGCCATCACCTCAGAGTAAGTCTTCCAAGTGTTGGCATTGATCATATACTTGAAGAAATAATCACGTAGGCCTGCCATGAAGGCCTTGAGGGCGGTCTTGTCATCTGCCTCAGTGCAGCGAGAATACTCATGGCTAAAGCGACCAGCATACTCTCGTAGTCACTCGTCCGGCTTCTGGTGAATAGTGTACAAGTCATTTGCAAAATGCAAGTGATCGTCTGGAAGATGTGTTGAGAGACAAACAGTTTGCTCAATTCCTCAAATGAGTTTACTGTTTCAGGTGAAAGACGACAATACCAGTTTAGAGCTCCGCCAGAGAAGGTGGAAGGGAAGAGAAGACATCGCTCTTCGTCAGCATCCGATATGCCATGGTGGACTCAAAGAGGTTAAGGTGTTCAATTGGGTCCTCCCTTCCAGTATAGAGTTGTAAACCAAGCTTTTGTTTTGTCTTCGCTTGAAGGGGATGTCGAGGATCCTTCTTGCAAGAGGGCCAGGCCTGGGTTGGTTCCAGTCAGGTATCTCAGCCTGGCGCTCGGCCTTCAACTTGTTTACTTCCTCAAGGAGCTTAGGATAAGAGGGTCTTGAATACCACTGGAATTTTCCTCTCCATCACTCTTGGAAGTAGGAAAGCTTAAGCAGGCATTTTTTCTTGAAGTACTGACTTCTAGGGCAAGTCTGGAGCCTTCCCCCGTAATGTGCCTCTAGAACTATCGTTCTTCCTAGATTGGCAGGAAGGTCGGACCATGGAGGTTTTGGAGGTGTGGTCATTTTCTAAAACAGTTAACACTACCATATTATCTCTACTATAGAGACAATCAATTAGATTACTATAATCCAATCATTGATTAATAAAGAACAATGCTTTGTCAAACAAAACATTTATCCATCTCTACTATAGTGATGGAATTAAATTCCTTAAAATTGGAATGTAAAGACGATCTTTGGCTTTCCGATTTCTTTGGTAGTTCATATGAGGAAGTAAGTGCAATCTGCTTTCGCAGAGATCTATATTTTATTCACTTTCCGAATGTGAAGCACCTAATCTTCTCTCATATATCTTCTACTTCTTATTAGTCACACTTTTACAACGATTGTAAAACATAGTTACTAATACGGAATCATGCATTTAAGTAGAAGAACTAACTGTTTTGAACTTTTCAAGAACAATTTACAACACCTTCGAAAGGTGTGTTCTTGACATTTGCAAGACATTTCTTGCAAATACCCCTTCCAATGTCCATCCTTTCATAAAGAAAGTTTGTTCCCTTGGAGTTATTATTATCTTCTTCATTCGACTTCTCCTTTTTGACTACAATAGTCATGGTCCCTAAACTCCCACTATCTCTCTTGAAACCTTTTTCAATTGTGTTATACACATCAAACAATTTGGAGAGTATGTGGTTATTGTTCACTACATAGTTTACCATAAACTTAGTGAACCATTAGGATAGGGAAACAAAGGTGAAGTCCTTGCCTAGTTTCCGTCTCGTTAAGTGGTTTAACACTTCAACACTCAATGATTCAAAATCATCATAAGTCCATGTTAATGGACTATTTTTGTCAACCAACCATTATGTTCTAAACATAATTACAAACTTTCAAGAGTTGTACAAGGCAACTCTCATTTCTTCATACAACAATTTGTAAGTGAAGAATTATGGCACATTAAGTGTCCATGCCTTTGTGCTTTCTTCTCAAGTTCCTTGTTCATGTAACAAAGAAACAAGCACTAAGTGTTTGCATTGATTAAGGGTTGTTCAAAGCAACTCTTATTTCTTCATACAACAATTTGTAATTGAAGAATTATGACATTAAAAGTGTTGTCAAGGAACCGGGGGGACGTTTAGGAAGTCTCGGGATCACGAGACTTCGTAACTTTACTTCGGCTCAATTCACGTTGCTCTGGCAATCACGATAAACGACTTTCGATCCTTCCAACCCTTCTGCAAGGACGTGTGTTCCTCCACTTCTTCTACTTCGGGTCAAAGCATCTGGGCTGAGAGAAGTCTCATGTTGATCAATGTTTTGATGATTAGGTTGCTCCTAATTAGGGATACCCATGTCGAAGGGAGGTGACCCTCCGTGTTGGGAGGCACCCAGATGATGGTTGATGTCCACAAGGGCAACGAGCTCGCATGTTTGAGTACGTCTAGTTTCATGGAGCGTCTCAAAGAGCTTCTCATACTGCTTTTGGAGGACCTCATTCTTCATTGCTATCTTGTTGTTCTGAGTTTCTAGCTCATCGACTTTAGCTTGAAGAGCAACCCTCTTTCCTTCCTTCTTTTGTTGTTTCGCACTAAGTGCAAGAGAGGTGCCATTCTGTGTGATGTGGCTTCCTTCGCTCCCCATGTTGGAGAGGGATGTCTGGTCAAAAGAGAGTGTACGAATGGTGGAAACCAGCTTGGCAAAGCTGAAGAGAATGGGAATAAGTGTCGTTCCCACAGATGGCACCAAATGTTGATGCACAAAATCAGCGAAGACTTTGGTACAACAGAAAGTGTTAAGTTTGTGACCTTCGCTAGATTGCTCCGGTCACTAGTGTGGATAAGTATGTAAATGGATAGAGACAGGGAAACAAACACAAGATGTACGTGGTTCACCCAGATTGGTTACGTCCACAGAGTAGAGGAGTTCTCATTAATTGTGAAGGGTTTACACAAGTACATAGGTTTAAACTCTCCTTTTGTGAGTATTAGTGAATGATCTAGTACAAATGGCATTCAAAAATATTGTGAGAGAATGATCTCTATTTATAGAAAAGAGTTTCTAGTTTCATTCTGACATTGACATGTGTTGTGTTGTGATTGGCTTCTGATGTCGACACGTGTCGCGCTATCATTGGCTTCTGTTGTCGACACGTGTCGCGCTGTGATTGGCCTCCTGGTTTGAGGGAACTCTTCTGGGTCCTTGACGGTATAACATTGACCGGTGCTCAGTAGTTTCGAGATTGGTCAAGTATGGTACAAACAAACTGTAACATAAACTACCACACACCAAATTAAATACATGAACATGACAACCCCAAAACATAAACAAAATTCTATATGAATTCAAACAATGTTAGGGCAAAAGAACCCCAAACGTAGACAAAAACCCAATTACGCATCAACTTCATTTTTATATAAAAGAGATGAAATTATTGGAGATACAGAAGCTTGGTTAGAGTGCAGGAGCAAGACTGAATGAAATGATGAAACTTAAAAGAGAGATATTACATGGATCAATCGCCATCATACGAGACATGGAAACTGGTAGTGCAGCCCCACAACAGTTGTAGAACTTGGCAGCGTATGGTGGATTGCCGAGTCCCAATTCATCGTACCTTAAATTGAATACAGAAAAATAGAACATCAATCAAGTAAAGCTGTCATTTCTAATTATCAAATATACCAACCTGTAGGAAATATAGAAGCATAGTTATAGCAGAGCAATTTCTCTCTCCCTCCCCTCAATATTTCCAGTCGACTGGGAAATAGAAAAATAGAACCCAAAATGCCCAAAAAGCAAAAGCTCAAAGACAAAAATAGAAAATAAAAAGGCATTAGAAAAGATCAAGTCATTGAATTTTACACAAAATTACAGCGATCAGGACTCACACACAAATTAATTTCAGGATCAAACACTAAAGTACAAGACTTCACCTTTTCTCTTCTCAAACCTGACATCTTTGAGAGTTACCTTTTCCAAGTTGTCGTACATCCTCGAGCCTTTGCGTTCATATGTGCTTTCTCAATTTGTGTAAACCCCCAAAATAAATTGCAAATATTCTAGAAATGATAAAGTGAACTGCAAATCCTTCAATCATTTCTCAAAATAAAGTGCAAATCACAAAATTACCTACTTCAAATCGGCTGGAGAACTCACCAGAAAACCAAGATTGACTTGAATCTGCTACCGAGGGGTCTTCATTGCTGCGACCCTGTCCATGAACTTGCTGCAGTTGCTTTCGTCTTCTTCTCCCTCCCTCCCTCCTCTCAACAAACCGCATGCCTTCCCTTCACCGAATCCCTCTCGCTCTCTCCCTCGCCCTCTATCTCTCTTCCTCTCTGTAAGCCGCATGCCTTCCCTTCACCGAATCCCACACTGAGCCGTCGATTCTATCGAAAGGGTTAGGGAGCTAGGGTTAGGGAGGAGGAGAGGAGTTGAGCGCAGGGAGGAGAGAGAGAGAGAGAGAGAACGTGTTTAGGGAGGAGGAAAGGGTTTAAGCTCTCCTTCAATCATTTCCCTTTTTATTTAGGGAAATTTTATTTGAACCCATCTAACCTCTTTCTACACCCAACTTAAATTCTAAATGTGAATTGTCTGTTTTATCCTAATGCATAATTACCATCAAGTGCAAGATGAAATTAAGAATAAAACTAAAATTTATCAATAAACCCATCAACCATATGTTTTTTAGCATAATCCAGTGCCTTCTTCCCACCCATCAGCCATATGTTTCTGAGCACATAGAACATATCAAGGATTTGAAAACACAGGTTTTCTGCTTGCTCTAATGCTTATATATTATGTCTTTGTGATGGTTTCTTGTTTGTTTTATTTTTATCGGCCTGCAGTTTCTCTCTAATGATTGTTATATCATGCAGATTATTAACAACGAATATGCATATCTGGTTGGCGGGGATGTAGTCTTTACTGTTGATAAATTTCCAAATTATGGCCAGTTATTTGGACAAAAATTGGAACACAATCGGGCTGGTGAACGAGTTGCTGTTGATTCAAGGAAGCGTAATCCAGCAGACTTTGCATTGTGGAAGGTCTGAAGTCCTCAACCATTTACCTCGTTTTTGCGGTTTTTTGTTTGTATTTTTAAATTAATGAAACTTCAAAAGGAATCTGCAGTCTGCAAAGCCTGGTGAACCAAGTTGGGAAAGCCCTTGGGGACCTGGTAAACCTGGATGGCACATTGAATGTAGTGCAATGAGTGCACATTATATGACATTCAAGTTTAATATTCATGGCGGCTGTATTGACTTGATTTTTCCACATCATGAGAATGAGATTGCCCAAAGACTACACCAGTAGGGACAACGATAATTTCCGAAAGGACAAAAAGGGCAGGGTGGGAGGTGACTTCTGCGACGAAGGGGCTGAGGGCGGAGCCATCGAGTGATGAGGCTTGCTTCACGAAGTGATCAATGACCTCCTCTTGCTTTTGCTTTCTAAGGGTGTAAAGATAAATTTTTATATATTGAATTGAGTTTGTGATGGTAGTTTAGATAGTAAATTTGGGTTTAAAGAGAGATTGATTCTTTAATTAAAAATAATATGGGTGTAAAGAATAAGTTGGGTGTAGAAAGATGTTGTATGGGTTCAAATAAAATTTCCCTTTTATTTATTTGGGGGTGAAAGTATTGTAGAATAGGATTATTAAATGAAAATAAAAATTATTTTTGACAGAAAAAAAAGAAGAAGAACACTGAAAAAGAAATAAAAAAAAACAGGTCCCAAAGTTGAAAAAACATGTAAAAAGACTTTGGTGTCAAAAAAAATTTAGTTATAAAGGTTAAAGCCACCAATGAATGGTGTCAGAAATGTTAAAGCCACCAAATTTTGACAATGGTGACAGTTTAATTTACAAAGCCACTATGAAGAAGGGTGGCCTTAAAACGGTGCCCTATAGCACATTTTCTAGTAGTGGAAGATTTTGGTATTGTAATTAGATTCAATTTGGGGAATTAATTAGAAATTGGGGGTTTTAGTGTTAAATCGAATTTTAGGGTTAGGAATGTTAGGGTTTTAGTGTTAAATCAAATTTTAGGGTGGTGGGTTGGTGTGCTATGGTGTTAGTTTTCTGGTTTTTTTCTCTGCTTCTTCACAAATTTCGTATTCTGCTAAATGGTGACTACTTACAAGTTCATATTTTTACGGTATGTTTCGTTGCAGTCCTCGCAACCTTCTCATTCTTGAACATTATATATGATCATGCTCTACAATGAGTAGTCCGTTCTGGCAAGGTTGTGCCCTGTTATTTCTAAAGCGCAAAGTTGACTTGGTAATTAAGATGCCTTACATTTAAGAAACTAAGCGTAGATAACGGCTTAGATGAGAAGTTTTTAGTTCGCCATCCTGATATTCGATACTCACAGTTGATCCAATAAGTTGTTAGATGTTCCTAATTGTTGTGAACGTAAGGCTTCATTTAGAAACAGAAATGAATGGTTTGTGTAATTTAACTAAATGGTGACTCAAAAGAATCATTATTGAATACATGATTGAGTTCAGAATATATATGCAATGGGCTTTCTTGTTCTATGATTAAGGAATCACAGTCATCTCAGTATTAGGAACGTGATGCGAGAATGGATGCAGGTGGACTAATTTAGCCAATAAGGCCTTGCCTTGCCCTGATGTTCTATGCATCTTATGTTTTTAGTCTCTGAAGTAAGTCTCAGTATACAAACGTAATTGATTACGATGCGAATCTGTAGATTCTAGGTTTCTATCTCATTCTTTGTAAACATATGCATTCAAACACAGCCACCCATACATTTGTTTTTAGATAAATTAGGTTCTCATCCTTCATTTTGTTACTCCATTGATTAAAATATTATTCATTTTCAATTTTTGATCAAGATCCTTGGATATTAATAACATCATTAATTATTTCAATAATAAAATATTTTTTTATTTCAAATATATTCATTGTTAAAAATGTTACAATTAGTATATTTATATTTACGACTAAATTTTTTATCATATATTTTTAGTTTTAGTTTTTAAATGTAATTCTTTTTTAATTTGTGCCAATTTTGTTTTCAGTTTTAATTTGTACCCATATATTAATTTCTTTTTGTGCCCATATTTTTTAAAGTTTATTTGTATTTGTACCCATATATGTTTTTTTATTTGTACTTTTTATTTTGCTAAATGTACCCATGCTAATTATATGTACCCATTCATGTAAAACTTTTTAATCTTAAAATGTGCTCATTCTTAATATACCAATTTGTTATATGTAAACTATACCATTTTTTTAATATAAAATCTATTCAATTTTTTCCTAATCCATTTTTAAACTTATATGGGTACATTCTTTTTTCTTTGATTTAAAAATGTATCCATGTCAAGTTTAATCGAAGAAATTTACTAATGTTATTAAGCCTAATATCTTCTTTTTTTTGTGATTTTGAAGAATGTACCCTTGTTTTGATACAATAATTTTTTTGGTTAATTTTGATGAATGCACCCATGTTTATACACACACACACACACACACACACACTATAGTATATTTATATTTTAATATTTTTAATCCCACAAATTATGGTTTTTTTTATTTAAAATCTCATTTATATAAACAACTAAAATTTCTGATTTTTAATTTAAAAAATATAGTAACGTACATAGAAATAAATTATCACATCAATTTCAAGGATCTCGATCAAAAATTAAAAACCAACAAGGTTTCAATCAAAGAAAATTCATAGCTAAGGACCGCATCCAAAGTCTCTCTTTGTCTTTACTATAAGGATTTGGCATCATCTTGGCTTACAAATCTTACCAATTTGTCTTACCCTTCATTTCTTTGAATGGGGTATCATCTTTCTAGAATACTTATGGGCATCTAGAATCCTCACCAATTTTCTGTCTTACACTTTCATTTCTTTAAATAGGGTATCACTTTCTCGGCAACCAAACACATCTCCAGGTCCTTGAACTCTTTATAATAATGAAAGGTCAGCTTGCGGAGGAAGTGACAAAACACGTACACATGAGAGGTCAATGCCCTGAAGGAGGAAGTGACAACCCTAAAAGGCCAGCTTGTGGCCCAGGGCGAGCAGATAAGGGCTTAGGACGAGAAGATGAGTATGATTGTACGGACCTTAGTGATGTCTGGCCTTCAAATCCCGATGCGAGCACCTGATCTTGCTCCACCCTTGACTTCCCAGTCACTTTGCCCAACCAATACCTAGTAGCATGATGTATTAAACCTAGAAGACTTGTAGTTTTTTTCTTTTTTGTTTGGACATCTTGTATGTACATTTTCATATATTTTATAATTAAATACTTTTTCTTGGTTTATTAATTATTGTTTAGAATTTAATTACAATATTTATTAAAAATTAAATAAAAAATTTGTTTGCCAAAAAAAAAAAGGGTTTGCTCGACGAATAAGTAACCTACGTCGCGCAAAGTGGTTTTGCACGACGCAAGTTAATTCTTCGTCGTGCAAACCCTGCTGTCATTGCCTTGGCGCGATAGTGGGTGCGCAACGAAGGTTTGTTGGGCAAATTTTTGTGCGATGTTTTTTTGACTTTGCGCAACGAAGGACCTGCGTCGTGCAAAGTCTTATTTTGTACTAACACCATCTCTCTCCTCCGTCAAACACAAGTTAGCCCCAAGCTTCTGACCCAGTTCTTCCATCATTCCTTCACCATCAGGCTCCTCCATATTGCAGCGTCGAGACCTTTCTCCCAGCCCCGACACTTTCAGCCTTCTGATCACAATGGTTTGTCCCTTTCCGCACTCTCCACCGTTGCATTTAACACTCACCGTCACTAAAAACCCTACGGTTTTGAGAAGAAAGTTGAAAACACGATACCTCCGACTTTATCGGACCAAAAACCCTCCTTGCGAGGACCTAAACATTAATTATGAAAGGGTGGGTCATTTTAACAGAGGCCTTGCAGACAGAGGTCTGTGTATTAGATTTCATCGCTTATTGTTGGAGGACCTGGGAACTACTAATTGTTGATTTTGCTTAACGTCTGTCAGGTACTTGCACGAGTTCAATAATTTTCTGTTTTAATTAATTTCAAATCAGGTGTGCCACTTTTTCTCAATTACTTCATCTGCTTCTCTAGCTTTTTCATTACAAGCTGCTTCTAGGAAGTACATTTGCCATGTATGTCTGACTTTGTGTTGATATGTCTGGTTGTTGGTTGGTGTAGTTTAACGTGGGTTCAAAAGTTTCTTTGACATTGAATCATTATATCAACGTTTGCCCTCGACACTTCATTATGTAGCTTATCTTAATTCTATATAGGTTCAAAACAAGCAAAAGAATGTAAAACACAAAATTAAGATCATGAACATAAGAAAAAATTGAACTGACACTTGAAAAAAGAAAAAAAAAAGTAAATTCCGAGTACAGGTTTTCACACTTTGTTGTTTCGTTTGTGTTTCGAAATCTGGAAACAAAGATTACTCTGAAATTATACGGATTAGAAGATATTGAAGGTTGATAAGAATTATAGAAGGTACTAGTAATGGTGCCCAATCGATGCTACGGTTTTTTAAACTATATAAACATGTCAAAAGTTTCACGTATATACACGATATGCAATATTTACATACATGTGATTCAGTCTTCTTAACCATTAACAGAACAAATTGAAAAAAATGAAAGGCAAAAACTACACTTAAGTATAAATATACATGCGATCTGAAAATTCATTTCCAAGTTCTACAACTGCAACTTATTCCAAAATAACTACTTACTCGTCCTCGCCCTCCTCTTCTTCTTCCTTCATAATCCTTGTCATTGTCTTTTTGGATTTTGGCAGCTAAACATGCTCATTTTAATATTCTCTGCATCCACATCATGAGGACCCTTTTGTACCTGAAGTTGCAACACAATAATATCAGAAATCTTGCAATACAACAACACTGCCAATTTTAATGATCATAATATGCAAAGACACTGAAAAGATAATCTTCCAAATCAAACAATAGGGATTAAGGAATGCATTTCAGAATACTACATACCAAAAATGTTGATCCCAAGTTGAGCATATAGATTGGAGAGAAGAAGCTATCCACAAAGTGAATAAACCACCACGAGATATAGAAAGTGATGGTTTTGACGTATTGGGTGATCCAATAACTATTGCAAGTTAGAATCTAAGGAAATGATAATGAGGGCAGGCAACCCAGCTAAAAAAGAATAGGCCTTTACATTCCTTTTCAATTTCTTTACCAAAATAATTGCCAATGCATATTAAATATTCAGTGGTATTTAAATCACAGGTGTAGACAAAATTCTAATAATCATAACAATACATCATCGACCAAAACAATACATCATTTTGTTTCAAAAAACAATACATTATTGATCATAACAAAGGTTCTAAATTCTAATGAAAACTTATATCAAAATTCGAATTAAGCAGTGTATTAAACAATAACCATAGCACAGTAGTACGAAAATGCTCTCATAAATGAATTAAAGAATTATAGATGTTGTGATACCTAGTTTAGGGTAAGGTATTGGCATTAAGACTAATCAACAAAACAAATGATCAATGTTTAGAGGCGCTTACAGGGATC